CTTCCCCTCCATGATTATGACCCCCTTCCCCATGGTAGTGCCACCTCAATGAACAAGTGTCCTTTAACAGTGCCTTCCTGACAACCCTGTGGCAATCGATCGGGGGCACCACAATACTGTCTCTACCAGAAGTCCCAGTGCCTATGGACTGTCAGCTCTCTTCTATTCCAGAGTTAAGAAAGGCCCTGGGTTTTCTTCTGTAATCAGTCTGGTTAACTTTTAAAGCAGGAAAGGCTGCCCTATTTCATCTTTCTAAGTGCTGTTTTCAGTTAAGTAAGCATGTTTTGGTAACTTGTGCCAAAATGAGATGGCTTGTTAAAGGCAGTATTTTGAAGGCTTGCCCTTGGAAATCGGTATTATTCCAACTGCGGTTCACACTGGATTGTGAAATTAGGGCCCCAAGAAAATCTAATTACAATCACAGCTCGGTTAAATCTTTGTTAATAAATAATACCTTTTCACATGTGGACTTGAAACCTACCTTGTACCCAAAATAACATAAGGATAAACAGAGTTTTAAAAAAATCTTAAAATGGGAATAAAAAACAAAGATTGGACTGTATAATAAAGCCAGAAAGGAAACATACACTTAAACCTATATTCTTACTAGGGGTGATATACGAAAGTATTTTCTAGAACCAGACTGTGGTGGCATGCATTTAAAACATCTTAAATTTATGGAGGTAGGATGGATGTAAATTAAAAGGTCATGAAAACTCTAAAACATGAGAAAATATTTATTTTCAGCACTGGCAAGATATTGGCAACATTTTTTAAAGTTATTTTTTGTCCGTTTATATTGCCTTTTATTATGAAATATGCATTTGGTTAAGAAACTCGGGTTGTACCAAAGCATACACCATCTCCCTCACCTTCCAAAACAAATGAGAAAATTCTTTCTCTGTTTTATGTTCTTCCAGAACATTTTCATGTTTGTACAAGCATTTTTTATTTAGCCCAAGGTGCCCTGAACATAGTTGGCGCTTGCTATCTTTTGACAACTGAAAGATAATTCTGAGGTTTGGAAATTCCAAGTGTATATAAAGACCACGCCTCCTGTAGCTAAGCGCAACGGAAGGGAGATTTGACGTGTGCAAAAGTGGCAGCGACTTCCGCGGCCTGAAGCGTACTCTGATCGAGTCCGCAATTGAACCTCCCGCCTTGCGGGGGCAAAAGTTATCTACGCCGCGCGGTGTGGACGGCCCCGCCCATTCCGGAAATGGCTGGGAACTGGCGCTGATCGGGCTTCCGGTCATGGGGTGGGGGTCAAAGTGACCCCGGAAGTAGAGTCTCTCGCTGCAAATGGCTTTCGGGGGTGGAGGAAAAGCGCGCCGAGTCGTGTGAGGGCGGTTCGGAAGTCTCTGGCAGCGTAGATCAACGAGCTTGGCAGCGGGAGCGGCAGGATATGCAGGGCTCCTGTCGCCTGAACCCTAATAGCCTACTGCCTTCTAGTGTAGGCAGACGCTGTATATCTCCCGCCGGCGGTGCGCGCTTCAGGTTTGTTTTCGTCCCGGGGCTGACTTCACTCTTGGGCTAGCCATCGAATACAAATATTTGAAAACTTAAATCCGACATAGCTGATTTTGCAAAATGTGGCAGCCATCCCATAAATTGTAACAAATATGACATGTTTATATCAAGCCAGAAATGTCCTTAGCAATTTCAGCTTATAGAAAATTTAGCTGTCATCCTAATGCGCTAGGTGATAACCATTTCATTTTCAGAGACCACGGAGTTAGAGGAGCATCTGATAAAGCTCTGCTCTTCCTATATGGGAGGACGGCATTAACCCTGTGCACTTACTGGCCACTGAACAGTGGCATTATGAAGTTCCGTGTCTACAGGACACGTTAATAAAAGCTTGGCAGCCTCACGAACGTTGTTTCCTTGCGTTGGCTATGACTGTATTTTATATATCAGTTATGGCACCTTTTACTCTCAACTGAAATATAAAATAAGAAAATTAAAGGTTTGCCTTCGGTTCCGTAAAGCAAGCCAAGTGGTCACTATAGGTCTGTCTTTTTCACTTATTTGGGACATGAATTTGGCTTTTCACCAATCACCCCAGCTTCTTGGGCAGCATTACTACTTGGAGAGGAATCAGAATCCAGGTGTTAGCTGTCGATACTGTTGAGTGACCAAGCTGTAACGAGGCAGCTCCAAATAGATCAGAAGCTGCCTTTCCCAGGTCAGGAAATGGGGTGGCATAGTGTCTGGGGCATCATATTTAGATTAGCTGTACTGGAGGCTTATACATTTAGCATGTTCATCTGCACCCTCCATGTAGGATTGGGATATTATTCTATCCAACCCCATTCTGTTTCTGGATAGTTACCACCACAAGATGCCAACTAATACCAGGGGCAGAAGCTGACACTAAGGTACTAGTGATTTTTTTCTTACTCCTAAACTCCACCCTTCCAGGCCTATTTTGCAATTAGCCCCACCCCAATTAGGTTAAGTCACCAAGTCATGTTGTCTTTTGAATCCTACTCCTTTTGTTCGCATTCCCATGTTTTGAACCTGCCTCCAGCCTCACCCAGTCCATAAACTACAGAGGCTCTCCAGGCTCATCTCCCACTTAACGTCACTTGCATAAGCTTTCCACATTGATTTCCTAAATCATGTTTTTTCTCTTCCCTGTGCTTGAACCACTTTCCCATTAACTGAATCACACCAAGGATGACTTGTCTGCTGTAACAGCTCACACTTACGTATGGTTACTAAGAGTCAAAAAGTCTTAAATGCTTTCCATTTTACTTAATTCATACGATCAAGTAGGTGCCTTCACCTAAGTTTTAATGAGAAAATTGGACTAAGCCTAAGTCTTATAGCTGTTAGGATTAGATCTAAAGTCCAAATCCTGTATGAATCTTCCCTGCAAGATTACATTTTCCTTCCTTTAGTGTCTGCTAGGACACAAATGTTAAGTCTCGTAATTCTTTATTAACTACTGACCACTCATTTAGATCCATGGCCTTAGCTTCCATATTAAGTCCTCTAAGACACTAAGGGAAACCCTTTACTTTACCTTTCTCACTCAGCACATGAAGGGAGATGCAAATCCAAATGTTTGTCCAACTAAGTAAAGCCTTCCTGACCCCTTTTAACTCCCATTATTTAAATCAAGTCTCTTGCCCTGTGCTTCCTTATATTTGTCGGCCCTCAACATCCTCTAATGGTTGTCAACAGCTTTGTTCCATAGAGCACTAAGGAAATACTTCACCACCAAACTAACCTAGTAGCTGAGTTTTAAATGCCATCTTAACCATTTCTTTGGCCAGAGTTCTAGACTGCGTTATTTTTGGTGGGAAAAAAAATCAAAACCTTTGGCAGAACTATAAAAACTGTAGCAAATTATAACTCCTGACATCTATGAGGGTACTATCTGTATACAAGCATTGGTCATTTATTGCAGATGCAGACCCTAGAAAAACTGATTCATTTCTGGCCAAATTTCTCTACTAGCTACATTTAAGACTAGAAGAAAAATTGTTCAAAGAAATACATTATGGTCTAGGGCCATGTCACCCTGAACATGCCCAATCTTGTCTGATCTCGGAAGCAGGATCGAGCCTGGTTAGTACTTAGATGGGAAACCACCTAGGAATACCAGGTGCTCTAGGTGGTTAAAAGAAAAAACATTATGAAATGCTAATAGTAATCTTAACTCCTATGTACAAGGACCCATAAATCCTGACAGTTGCTATCTAGGATCCAGACCACTTTAATACGTAAAAGCCCCGGTGCATTTTAAATTCAGATTGCTGGGCCCCATTTCAAGATTTTGGTAATGACCAGAATGGTTTAGTCCAAGATGAGGGAGCCAGGTGGAAAACCCTTAGGTTCAGGAATTAAGTCCAGAAGAACTGCCTCTATCCTATCACTGTCCCCTCTTTAGAACATTACCCATCAAATTCCTGTAAAGACTATTCCCCACCAAAACTGAGTTTTCCTCTTTTGAGACCCATGGAACATTTATGGGCACATCATTCCACTCACTGTAAATTCAGTGTATACAATGCAAACAGATTTTCCAGCTATTTTATATGTATGTATTCCTGTCACCAACATTACTACTTTCCACATGAAGAGATTCACTGTTAGGTAACCAGCCAAGGTCTCTAAGTGTTGGTGCTATCTTTTGCACTTTCTTCTGAAGGGAGCTGGCAGGAGGCCAGGCCCGCATACTCTTACTCCTAGAACCTGTTAGTTAGGTCAGTTTCTGACATACAGGTAGGGAGGTAGAGGTGCCAAAGAACTACACTCAGACCAGAAGAGAAAAACACTTGTGAACATTTAATGAACTTTCCTCCATGTGGTTTCAAGCTACCAAGACACAGGCCCCCCCAACACCCTTAATCTTCTCCTCAGCTCTTCTGCTGAAGAATTTGGCCTTCACGATGACAGGTTGCTTTGGGAGCTTTCCCTTCCCCAGAACTTTGTAGTAGCCCTAGAACAGAGAAAAGAGTTTATAATACAGCATGGCAGGGACCAACTCCTTGATGAGTATGAGGAAACATACCTGCCAACCCACTCCATCTAGGAGCCGAGAAGGGAATGTTTCTGACCTGGGCACTACCGGGGGCACTGATTGCCCTCGCCAGTGAATCAAGACCAGCAGATTCTCTCCGAGAACTCTAGCACACCAGGACAAGAACTGTCAGGATGTGACTCTAGTCTCGGGCAAAGCACAAACCCCTTTCCCTCACTCAATTACCCATCTAATAAGCAGAAAAGGGAAATCACATTCCCAGCAATGTTCCAATAAGTCTTGACCATCAAACCTGCCCAAGGGGTATTAAACAGGCTGGGAAGAATTTTGAACTTAACTGATGGCTGTGTGGCTCCCTCAGGGTTGACTACATCTATACCCATGGGAGGGCTAAGACTGACACAAAGGGCAGAACTCCAAATGATATACAAAAATGCTTGTGTAGTTTTCTTTTTGGTGGGGTTGGGGTGGTCCTCATCAGATAAGGTTAGGCCTTAAGTAACAATCAAACACATTAGGATTTTATTCTATAAGGAACACAAAGGGTCCAAAAGCTGTGCCTCATGTAGGCTTGTGTAAAATAGACCAGAACCAGTTGGGCTAAGATACTGCCAATATTTCAGGTGAGAAATGCAAACCTGTACAAATCAGGGCACTAACAGTAGGAATGAGATTACTGATTGGAAAAACATTCAAGTGAAAATGAAATACCTGAAAGAAAGAAAAAAGATTACTCTTCAACTGAACTGGAGTTCAATTTTGGTCAGTGAATTACCTCTGGAAATTCTACCAAAAGGTGGAACTATCTAGTAGGTAACTTGGTATAGACTCTAGGTGGGAGATCAAATAAATTATATATTACTCAGAATTTTGAGATTTAAGAACCCATACAAAGGCAAAAAAAATATTCACTCACCGATCGCACCACATCAATGATAGGAGCAGCTCCTGTCTTGTTTTTGGCAGCATTTACCAGCGTCTGCTCACTGACCAAGGTCCACAGTTTATCAAGGTTGACAGTTGGGCAGAAGCTCTGGTTCCTCTTTAAGTGGTAATGCCTCATACCAACTTTCCCAAAGTAACCTGGGTGACTGGGAAGAGAAAGCAACCACTTTTATAACCTCACTCCAATTAAGAAGCTATGTTTATCTTTATAGTCTACCCCCCACCCCACCAAATTTGTGATTTCTTTACTGGTTTAGAACAGTGACATAACAGGTACTCCATTCATCTGTTGAATATAACAAATCCTTCTAAAAAGCCCACCAAAAGCTTTCACAAGAAAAAGACTAGCCTTACTTCATGCAACCAGATTAAGCCATCAAGGAAGTCAGAACCAGTGCCAAAACTACAATTCAGGTCTAACAGTTGTATAGGTCAATCAGATGATGCATGTTACGAACCTGGTGACTGACTATGCCATGGGGGCCATAGTCAGTGAATAAGGTCAGTAGTTACTTTTCGAGAGCTCTAGCACACTAAGGCAATAGTTGATACCCAAGCGTGACTCTAGCCTCGATGACAGATTTTCTCAGTTCACATCAAGTGTTAACTCGGAAAAACAATAGGCAAGATTTCTGAGTGTTAAGGGGCTTGCTTTCCACTACAGATGTTCTGAGCCAGCCCTCTGCCCCCAACTCCAAAACAATGTCGGTAAAAGCAGTCCAAGAAACTCACTATTTGTCAAAGTTGATCCTGTGGTGATGCATGCCACCAGCATTACCTCGGCCTCCTGGGTGCTTCCGGTGTTTGCCTGCAGGAATACAAAGCTACATGGCTTACACAGTCTTCATTACCCCTCAATACTTTTAGCAAAAGCATTTCCCCATACCTCTCTGCCTTTGCTTATGCTGTTACCCGTCTACAACACCTCTTTCAGCATTACTATTCCTTCAAGACTCCAGCTTAAACATCTTTTTTCTAACATTACCACCTTCGACAAATTCAATACTGTGTCCCAATTTTCACCCCGTCCAACTTTTGTGAAATTATGATTAGAGCACTAGAGAATTCTCAAAAACAAAAGATCAACAGCTAAAGGTCAGCTTCAATTTGACTCGAATGCACAAAGCTATTGATAACCCTCTTGCAAGCCACCTACCTCTTGACTATCCAAGCACCAAACAGGGAGAGCCCAAGCTGACCATGATGGGAACCAGCACTTACCGATGCGGCCATGGCCGTGGCTCACGTGGCCCCGAAGTTTCCGGGTCTTCCTCAGTCTGGATGGCTGTGTGGAAAAAGGAGCTTGGTAATAAGGGCTAACGGAATTGGGGGCAGGGAGCGAAGCTTGCCAGATCGTGAGGGGTCCGTGGGCCTGAAGATCAAGGATCTGCTTTGTGGCGCATTCAGCAAAGCTGAGTTACAGACTGGCCCGGAGCTGTGAGGCCTCATCAGGGCGGTGCCTGGGCCCGCGCATTTCAGAGATCCGAACCCTGGGCCGAACACGCGGCCCCAGGCTTCCGGGCCCACACCGATCCCCCACCCTGCAGCCCGCCATACGCGGCTCAGAAGATTGGACTAAGGTGGATGGTACGTGGCTGCGGTGCAAGGCAAGTAGAGCTCGCGGCCTGCGCCAGCAACGCAGAAGAAGCACGAAACGAATAACCTACCATGTCCGCTGCCAAGACGAAAGAGGGAGGCCTTTGCGAAGTCTCGCGAGGTATGAGACATGGGGGCGGTGCCAACTGTCGTCACTTCCGGCCTGGGAGGCCTGGCCTCGGGCTCGTCTCGGGTCTCGCGCGGCTGCGGCTTGTTGCTTCCTTTTCCTGCAGGTTATTCTCGCAGTTCCTGGGCCGTCTTGGATTTGACAGCGGAGTTCCTTCCCTGCAGCTAGAGCTGTCTCAGAATCTGGGACTTGGGGCGCTGTGGGCCGGGTCTTTTTGCGCCATGGCTCAGGAACCCTCCTAGGCCATCGTATCTCTCACTTCCTCATCAAATGTCCCAGCCCAGAGCGGCCCCACGCGTCTTACTCTTCTTATGGGTTAACTCGGTCCGAGCGGTAGCGGTCGCTTGCTTGTGCCCCGGCCGCGGTGAGGACCTACGAGGTACTGTTTGACCCTTAGGGTGCCCACCCGTTGTCTCGCTGTGCTCCCTTTGAAGTCCTTCCCTGGATGTCTCTACCACCCTGTGGGACCTTGCTCACCCACACTCCTGAACGGGCGATGGCTCTTCTTTTTTCCGTTGCCTTTGTGCTATCATCGAGGCGTACTCAGTTTGAACCTGCTGTGCTCCTGGTTGCTTTAGTGTCCATTTTATCCAGACCTTGTACATTTTCTAACCGACACATTTAAATTTTCACCTGAACTCAATTCGACACGACTGTGACGCCTTCCTGTCCTGGACCAGAGAACCCCTGCTCAACCTAGACCCATTACAAGCGTCTCATGAAACTTCTCTGACCCGTTCAGCTGTAGTTGCTTATTTACTCCATCGTGCCACCGCAAAATCTAGTACATAGCTCCTAGATAATTGTTTGTCTTTCCTACTAGACCAAATTACTTAAGGGATAGAATTTTCTTTTATCCGTGCACTCCCAGTTCCTGGCATATAGTACATGTTCAACAAATGATTAAATGAATGCACTTACCCTCATTCACCTCTCTTTCTTCCCTAATAGTGGAAGAGGCAACCCTCGTGTCTTAAATCTCAACCAGAGTTTACTGTCTCAACCAGTGTTCAAGATCCCACTCCCTCAATTACTCTGTGTTTGTATGTATTTTCTGTTTCTTCAGCTAAAATATATTTTAGCTAAACTATCCTAAATTCTCCATGACTGTCTCATCTACCACCCATGCTCCTTTACCCTTTTCTCCAGAAGTGTAGTCTATGAATGCTGTCTGTTTGCTCACTTCCCATTCGTAGTTTTAACCACCTCAGTCTAGCTCTCAGCCCCACTATTTCAATGAAATTGCTTTTACCTAAGTCATCATCAATTAAACAAACACCAAATTGAATGGACTCTTCCTATTCCTCATACCACTTGTTCTCTCTGTTGTATGTTACCCCTCTGACTTCTTTTTTTAGAGAAAAATCACTTTCCTCCTATCTTTCTGGCTATCTCAGTTTTCAGGTTCTAATTTTCACCACACTTTAAATGTTGGTGTTCTTAAGCCTCCTGTCTTGCCCCTCTTTTCACAGTACATAGTCATTTTGGGTGAACTCATCTTGGATGGCTTCAATGCACATCTCTATTGCTGAACTCCACACTCATGTAGTCACTTAATTTGTGGCTAGTATCCCTTGGACATTCTATAGACAAACTAGATAAACACGTGTAAAGACTTCAATCTTCCCTGCTCATTGGTGCCTTCTTTATTTTATATCTTGGTGCGTAGCACTCATGTCCACCTCAGCGATGTAAGAGACACCTGAAAACTGTCCCCAAGCTTTCTTTTCCTCTAATGCAGTGTCACCATATCCTTTTATTCTATATCTATCTGTCAAATCTGCTTTCTTCTTTTAAGCCCTGTTGCCATTGACTTCATTAAGGCCCACTTAATATCTCTTGAGTTTCACACCCTCCTGTGATCACCCTGCCTACATTGTAACCTTCCTTCAATCTCTCCATCCATCTTACCTCTGCTAAGTTAATCTTCCTAAAACATGACTTTCATTCTTTCACTTGATCAAAAGTTCACTATCTCCCTATTACCAACAGAATACAGCCCACTTGCCTTTCCATCCCTACCTCAGCTTTTTCCCTAGAGAAGCTTTTTACTTCAGCCAAACTTGGTATATCTCTCCTGCCTTATTGCATGTGCTTGTGTCATTTCTCAAGCTTGGAGTGCTCATCTTCCTGACCAGATATCCTGAATCTTTCTCAACCTTTAAAGCCCACTTTATAATCTGCTTTCCAAAGTCTTGATGGGCACTCAAGACTGAGCATCTTACCACTCCAGGCCACAGTGAAAATAGCCAGATATACCTTGCAGTTTACAAAATGCGTCTGCCTTAGAAGTCAACACTACCAGCCCCATTTTTTGACTGAGAAAATTGAGGCACATAAGGTCGAATGACTTGCCAGAGGCTATAGAGCTCCTAAGATAGAGAGCCAGGGCCTAGCCTTTAGTCTTCTCTCTCTAGATACCCTGTTCTTACCTCAGTGACCACTCCCTCTCTTACCTCACAGCATGGTAGTCTTCATCACTCTTTCAGTCCTTAAACATATACTGCCTGTGACCAGCAGAAAGAGGAACCTTGAGGATGGGGGGCAAGGTCTAAGAAGAGATCATCTTTTATTTGACATCAAAACTGGCCAGTAAGTGTACAAGCCATAAGCTGAGCTACCTGGAAATTACCCTGGGATGATGGTCTGAATGGAGGTAAGCTAGACAAAACTTTAGGAATGAAAGGGAACTGTCAGGTACCCTATAACTAGGGCCTAGAGCAAGGACCAATACTGTCCAGGGGGTTGGATGGAGGGTTCTGGGTGATGGCACGTTGATGCTGGATAGTTTTGTCAGGTTCCTTGGCTCGTAGAGGAGCTACATCCTGTCTGTCAGGACACCCAGCAAAATGGGAGGCCTCCCTGAGTGGATCAGGACTCTGTTGGGTTCTTTGCTCACCTAACATTCTTATTGATAGTCTCCAGGTTAGGGAGTGCTCTGGGTGGTCGACTGGTTCTGGTTTATAGCCAGCTCCCTCCCCTTCACAAGGCAATCAGTAGCTTCAACATGAGGCTAATATGGGTTTGTCAGTGTGAGTCAGTTTCCTTATATTGACCAGCTCTGAGAGAGCAAACAAAAGTGAGTTCTATACCTGCAAAGTTGAGTAGCAGCCAGACATTAGGCATTAAGCTACCTGTCTTTCCATGTCAGACACAGAGGGAATGACCCTGGATGTAACCCCTGAGAAGCCTCCTTCTCTGTGACATCTCTTCTGAAGTAGAGCATGGCATTGTGACATCTCAGGCTAAATGGGCTTCCTCAGAGAGTCTGGGCCTCAGAAAATAAACTTGTGAAATGAACAGAAGGGAATGATGTCAGGAAGCAGCGTGGCAAGGCAAGTAAAGGTGGTGATGACATTTTTGCTACCCCAGGCCTCTCTCCAGGTGGCCTTGTGAATACACTGCCACTCTGAAGAGGGCCCTGGTGCTTCCTCTCCTCTCTTCTTTGGGGTTCCTGAGTTCATCAGCAGTCCTTCAGACAGCAACAATAGTGTGAACGGATCCAGCCTTGTTTTCTGGCTCTTCATCTTTAGATTTGGACATTTGGAAATATTATGTTGTTTTTCTTTTTCAAGTAGAGGATTGTTGATTTAAGATGGGAAGAGCCAGATTTCTGTTCTAAGTAAGAATTAGAGAAAAAACTTTGAAATTTGAATTTACTTCAGAAAGAATTTTTTAAAAATTACTTAATAGATAAGTAGTAAAACATTAAAGAAAAATTTGAAAAATATATAAGTATAAAAATCTCAAATCATAATACCATACAATGCTGTTTTTGTGTTTGAATATTACCTTTTAGCTCTCAACAATCTTCAAAGCTGGTAGACATAGTATACAGGGTTTGTCTTTTTCTGCCTGACTTATTTCACTTGGCATGAGACCCTCTAAATCCATCCGTGTTGTCACAAATGGCAGTTTCATTCTTTTTTACTGTTGTGTATTATTCCAGTGATGATTATTTTTAATAGCTGAAGAGTACTTTATCTTCAGGTAAATTATTTATCTTCAGGTATCTTATTTTCATTTCTTTGGTTCTTATTATGTTCTTTGCTATTAGTTTTTTTCTTGTATTGAATAATTTGTCCAGGATAAATTTATAGGCATGAGATTGCTCGACTATAGGGCATGAACATTTTTATTATTTATTTTACGTTGCTATATATTTTTTCCAAATGAACTGTACTGATTTATGCATCAGTGACATGTATAGTTTTCAATTTCAACTACACCAAGCTCAGGTTTTTGTTTTATCAGTAGTTTTTGATATATGGCAATATATGACATCTAGGGGAAAATTTATAGGATCTCAGGGTTTTCTTCAGCACAAGCTTGAGGATTAGGAATTTCTAAGAGTCTTTTCTTTCTATGTTGCATAGATTTAAAAAAAAAAAATCTCATCGTGCTCCATAACAAGTGCATTCCTAGAAACTTTATCAGAAGCTAGGATGGAAAACCCTGCTTCCATTAAACTCAGAATAGCAAAATGTGAAGAGAGGAATTGTAGGATCTTTGAGGGCAGTTTATCCAATAGCAGAACAAAGAAGGGCTGAAATATTTGGGTTTTAATTTAATTTCAGATGATAAAAGTGGAAAGGACACGGAAACTTGGGTTCATTTCCTAACTCTGTTTTTACTAGCTGAGTGATATTGAACAAATAACATATTCTCTTTAAATCTAAGTTTTCTTGTCCGTATAATGAAAAATGATTGAGAGTCATTCATTCATTTTAGAAATATATATTGAGTGTGTGCTATGTTCAGGCACGATATATATGTGCCAGGCAGCGAGGGACAGATACAAAGGTGAACAAGAAAGACAAAGTCCTGCCTTAGGACTGTGTCTAAAACAGACAGTAAACAAATAAATAATACATCACATTTAACACAATCTAGCATAGAATGGGTGCTCTCTCATTACCTAGTGTTTATCTCTTTCATTTTCTCCCTAAAAGGAGTACATTTTAATGATAAATTGTTCTGTACTACCCATGCAAACAATCTTTGAAGTTCTTACTTCCAGTGTGTCAATGGAATGACT